TTTACTGAAAAAATGGACTGTAGTCCATTTGTTGGGAAGAAAACCAACAGAGTTCTTTTTTTTTTTTTTTTTTTTTTTTTTTTTTTTTTTTTTTTTTTTCTTCAACGTTTATTTATTTTTGGGACAGAGAGAGACAGAGCATGAACAGGCGAGGGGCAGAGAGAGAGGGAGACACAGAATCGGAAACAGGCTCCAGGCTCTGAGCCATCAGTCCAGAGCCCGACGCGGGGCTCGAACTCACGGACCGCGAGATCGTGACCTGGCTGAAGTCGGACGCTTAACAGACTGCGCCACCCAGGCGCCCCAACAGAGTTCTTTTAAGGGCATATTTCCTCCCAGCTGAGCTCTTTCCTTATCTCTATTAGCTTGTTTAGGCAATGTAATATTAAGTCAATCTCACTTGTGATCCCAGACTCAAATTGAGGATTATCTATTTAGGCGTTAGTCAACTAATTTTATAAATACGTATTAAGCACCTACTATACATCAATAACTATTTTATGCAGAATACAGTGACTTACAGAGTATCTCACCACCATACAAGTTACATCATAACTAGAAAAACCCATCAATAAATACATAATCCACTAAAACGAAAGAGATCATTAAAATCATGGTAAATACTATATAGGAAATAAATGGATGGTATGAAAGAAATCAATAAAGACTGAAGTGGGGTAGGGTGGTTTTGAAAAAGTTGTTATAGAAGACTCCTCAAGAAAGCAGAATATGATGGAAAAACTGAAAATAATAAAACGGAGATGGCTATGGATGAACCAAGTAAGACCGTTCCAGGTCACACTGGGAGGAAAGAAAGACCCTGAATAGGGCAAAAGCAGGTGAAGGAGGCCCCAGGTGCGCGCACGTGGAGCATCATTATCTAGCAACAGTACAATTCATACCAGGAGCACTGACATCAGTCCAACAGAATTCAAATCCTGAATGCCTTCCACCTTTCCCACAGGTGTCTACCACCTTGTGATAACAGCAGGCTACTTAAACAAGCAAAGCCTCAGTTTGCCCCTTTGTCCAATGTGACATCCCTTCCTGGTAATATTTCCGTGATGGGAGTTAAAGAAACGATGCTTGAAAAAAGACTCAGAAGTGTCTAGAACACAGAATGTACGTTAAGATAAATGTTGGTTGCCAGCCTCACAGATGTCAGGGGGCTATTTCTGGAGCAGTGCAGCCCAAGGCAAGGGGGTACCTGGATTTAATTCTCAGTTCTTCTGGGTCTGCTTATATAAACTTGGGCAAGCCAATTAACCTCTCTGTGCCTCAGTTTCCTCATCATAATATAAGGGATTATGGAAGAACTCATTTTAAAGAGTTGTCATAAATATATAGATTGAATTAGTAGGACAGCGAATCATTTAGCTTCCTACGATTAATATGTTAGTAATAGTACCAGTATAAAAGTGGCCAAAAATAAGAAAAATACTTGATTCTTCATTTTCCTAATAGATCATCTTTTATAAGAGGTGTCCCTGCTCTAAGCGACACCACAAAAATGGCACAATAATTTACTCAACACACAAACTAATAATCTAAAAGCTATACTTTATGTATCTTTTTTCACCTTCAATATTTAGAACATAAGCAGGTAGCATCTACTCTTATTGATGTGTCAATACTTGGATTGTATTCATGCCTTAGGTCCATTTCTCCAGAGTTGGATCCTGAAGCAAGGATTAGTATACAATTGATTAGTTAACAAATTGCTTCCAGGTCAGAAAGTGAGAAAGAGCATGGGAAAACAGAATCCAAACAGGGTGTGATTTCAAAGTTTCAGTCTCGCATGAGTCTGTAGGGGAACTCTGGGATGTAAATAAAGTGTGAATTTCCACATTTTTGCACCTGTTAGACAATGGCTCAGGGATTTCATGGGAGATGATTGTAAACTTGTAGGCACTTTAGGCACTCTGTGCGTGTGAGCAGAGTGGTTCCAGTAGCCAAAGGAAGTCCTCCAAAGAGAGTTGCAGGTGCAGGTCATTAGAGGCAAAAGCCTGAAAAAATTTTAGTGCATGTGGTGTGTGTGTGTGTGTGTGTGTGTGTGTGTGTGTGTGTGTGTGTGTCCATATTAAAGAATGAAGGGAACCTGAGCACAGTGTCAGTGTCCACTGGAAACCACTTCTCCATATGCCACTGCCATCTTTTTCTTAACTTGAGAGATAGACTCTAACTGATCTCCCCCTTAACCAAATTTCTTGCTTACCCTCTAACCTACTTTCCACTCTGCAGCCAGATTGATCTTTTCTAAACATTTCATGTTAAAAATCTTCCAACTGATTTCCATTGCACTGAAAATGAATGCATTTTTTTTTTACTCTAGCTTATAGAGACCTATGGGATCCTGGCCTCTGCCTAAGTCTCTGGCTCCACCAAATACAACTTAACTTTTCTGCTTAAACGCTTATTTCCATCTAGAGTGGGCATCACAGTTAGAACAGACCACAGGAAATGAAGAATGCTCTCTAATTTCTCTTGCAAGAGTGGTCAGTAAAAATGATGGTGAAAAGAGATTTCCCACTGGGGGGAAAACAGGTGGCCAGTGTGGTCAACTAAGGAATTTGTTGTATTTTATCAAAGTGAGACACCAGCTGTTCTTGAGATCCTTCAGCTGCTCATTTCCTACTGCACCATCACTGTTCAAACCATTCAGGGCATGTTCTGAGCTAGTGGCCACCAGATGGTACTTTTCCATTGCACTTTTTCTAAGCACTTATTGACTCTGTAGTTTTCTGATATTTATTTCAGAGGTTTACATCTGTTGTGGTTAAATTTACCAAGTTCCTATAGTTTCCAGGATTACGAATAGCCACAAAGAGTACTAAGAAAGACAAGTACCTGAGATTTCAGAGTCAAAAAGTAATGTGATTTTAATTTCTCTCATTTTGCAGTGTGAGGATTTGTGATTATATATGTGTATTTTGTTAAGTAAGAAGTTTTTTTTTAAATAATAGGTATGGAAATTAGAGTACATGTGTGCTGGACAGAGCCAATAGCTGTGGACCATAGCAAGCATCCGTACCATTATCTGCCAATCACCATTCCTTTCTGATATATGACTATGACTATAGTGGAAGCAACCATGGATGATGATGATGATGATGATGATGATGATGATGATGATGATGGCGGCATTAACATGTTGACAATTTGTATGCTAGCATTATGCTAACTTCTTTACATATATTATCTTTTGTAAAACATTGTTTAAGGCTGTGTATCTAGTTCCAATACTTACTACTTGTGCATTTGCCAGATTACTTAAATTCTTCACATGCAGTTTTCTCATGGGTATACACTGTTGTAGAAATAAAATAAAATTTTTGTGATACCAATAAGTATTACTTTGTATTCCTAAAGGTTTAAAATAAAATTAATAACAATGTTTTGTGAGTCAGGTAATAATTATTCTACCTTTCTAGGAGTAAGTAGTTGAGACCAAGTAAATATCACCAAATCTCACAGATAATAATGGAAAAGCCAAGTTGGAGGCACATGTTTGACCTTTATGCCTTGATAACAACAACTGACTCCAGAGACTTATGGTCCAGTGTTGGGCATCTGGCCTAAGCCAGGTAAATTAGAGTCCATTCCCACAATTTTTCAAACTCAAATTAGAAAATACTGTCAGTTGCTTTCTGGATTGGAAGATGTTAAATCTGAACTTTATATATTCCTATATGCCATCAGGTCAAGGAGGCTTAGTTGAAAGCAAGAGGAGAGAGGGGTGAGCAAGAGAGAATAGTATTAAAGTACCCACGCCCCTAATTCCTGTTTTCATGAGCAGAAAAGGCCCAATTGCTTCTTTGCTCCTTTCATTTCTTCCTTTCCCCATTTAGTTTGATTTTATATTCCAGTGAATTCTTCCTTTGCCTACATTAGCTTGAGATGGGTTTCTATTGCTTACCAATATCATTACCATTAGCAGCATCATTATTAAGATTTCACATCTTCTGAATGTTTCCAAATGAAACCAATTTGTTTTGCTAAAAAACAAAATTAATTCTGAAATACCAAATGAACTAGTGTTTTTTTCACTTCAAGAAAATTCAACTTACCGTATCAACAGAGAGACAGTGTTGCAAAATTCTCTATCAAGTTATCTCATAGCTAAGACGCCCATATCAAATTTTACCACATCAGTTTTGTGCACTCATTTTTCCTATTATTTTAGGAAATAAATATGTGTTGTTGTTTTTAATTTTCAGGTAAAGTGTGTCCATTTAGAGCATGCTCTTTTCAGCCTCAAGTAAATTTGAGTGAGTTATCAACTGACTGTCAGGAAAAATACAGTTATCAATTATAAAGGATCAACATAATATGGTGTTAGGTATTGCAGGACATAATCCAAAGTATATCTGGTACAAGTTAGTTTGCCTTGAGGAAATACCTTATCATGGTACAGAAGAACAAGGAGGAAGAAGACGAAGAGGAGGAAGAGGAGAGGGAAGAGGAAAAGGTGGAGGAGAAGAAGAAACAGATTGTAAAAGTTGATAGCTTGTGCACTGAAAACAGTGTTACTAAAGGTATATAAGCTCATATATATGTATATATTAATAAATACACTAGTTTTTATTAGTCTTAAAGACTCAGGAACGTTCAGTATGATCCTTGGTATATTGTAGAGCTTAATTTTTTTTCAAATACTTGGTATTTTAAATTACAAATATGTTCTCATTTATATGCCGCAATATAGTGATATTAAAGTCACCTGTTAAATTTCTGTTTAGTTTATCTGTGCTACACGTCTCCTCACCTCACTCTATGATATGTGAGCTATATGATGTGATATGTTTAATGATAAGTTCACTGATGTAACATGGAAAAATAATGTATATATATTATTTATAAAATCTTAATATTTAAAAAAGTTTTATAGTTTACAGGTTATGTGAAAATGAAACACAACCTAATAAGCCATTTTTCTCTCTCTAGTCCTCAGGGGAATTGGACAGTACATTGAATTTGATATCCTACTGAAGCTGCTTATAATGAGGACATACTATTGCCTATCACTATTCATCTGGACCTATATGTTTCATACAGTTGATGCTATTCCATTAGAAGAAAAAGCTAGTAGGGATTTGCCAAGCAAAAGTGTTGTGGATCTGACAAAAGATGACAGTAAAATGTTACATCGTACCAAGCGTGGCTGGATGTGGAATCAGTTCTTCTTGTTGGAGGAGTACACAGGTACAGACACACAGTATGTTGGCAAGGTAAGAATTTTTATGTGATAAATCTAGAAGATGAAAGTGATGGCAATTTATTTACTTTTTACAGCAACTTCCCATATTATTAATGATTATTTTACAATATTTGACTAATTATGGTGTGCAGAAGGCATAATATTGCAAATGTTTTCAGTAGGGTAGTATGGGTAATGTGATTTACTCAGGTAGCTAAATGTAGGTCAGTGTCCATAGCATTATTAATCAGCAATATATGATTTATATTTATATATTTATGGATGTGCATCTAAAATGTTTTAAAAACGTTCTTTGAAATTTAATTTAAAGCATCGGATAAAGAATAACTTAGTGTGCTACATGAGGCAAAACAAAATGCAATTATAGTATACCAAAAATTACTAAAATATATTGGTGGCTACTAATAAACAATTTATCATAATTAAGAATAGTCTGCTGTGTATGAGAAGTAAATAAGTATAAATACTTCTCTCTCGGTAGTCTGTTTGTTAATATCAGTCAAACTGAACGACTTCTCGCCTGTAATCCGGACCAAAGGGCTCAAGGAGAAGGAGAAAGAAAACAGAAGTAGAAAGAAGGCAGTACCTTCGGGAAGGTTAAAACCATCCTAACAGCAATAGCGGCTCATTAGCAGTCTGGAACAAACCGCGATAGAGAATACGTAACTCTCCTTCTTGTATTCAACTTTGAGAAAATAGACTCGTAAACTTTCTCTTCCTCTTTTCTGTCTTCCTCAAAATAGATGACATGATCGTTCCAACATCCAGAATTTTCTATTTATCTAATATCTACCAATCTCATTCATACCATTCTACATGCAAGACAAATCCTTTGTTTATTGGATTATTCCAGATATGTGCCTAATGCTGAGATACTTCCAAATTCTAATAATAAAACAAAATAAACAATGATGAATACTAACATTCCTCATAAATCACATACTTTTTTTTCTTGATTCTTTGCACATGATACTAGAAATGACTGTGATGGTCACAGTATTTTTTGAGTTACTAGCAACACGAGGCAGATAAGATAGAATGGGCCAAAAATAAAAACATAAAAAGCATCTGATATCACAAAAGTCATGCCTATATTGCTTTTAAACTAGAAACACATTTATTCTGTGAAATTGCCAAAATCTTGTTCTAATTTTTCAGTGTGTTTGTGTGTGTGTGTGTGTGTGTGTGTGTGTGTGTGTGTGTGGCAGTGTACTTTTTTCAACTGCAGCTTCTTTTATCAGAAGCCTATTATTTCCTCTTCTTTTGATATCTCCTCCCCTGGTTCCACAGGTCACACTCATTTTGCCCCATATAGTTCACTTGCTGATTCTTTTTTTTTTCCCTCTTATTTCTCCTCAGGTTAGTCATAGGGCATCTCCCAGCATCCCTCATTTAACATCACTTCTCACACCATAGTTAATAACTAACATCAGGATATTTCAAGTTCAACTGACAAATGTTTGTGTCTAAGGACTTGAAATTGCCTTATGATTCTTTTTCTAAGGCAGTGTATAAAGGGCACATTCAGTTCACAAGGTCTTACATAGAGGGTTTCATCCTTGGAGATTCACAGATGCAGAAGAATAGCTACAGATAAAAAGAGATGCTCAATCGTAAGGCAATCAAGGCTCCACTACAAGCATTTATTTTTAGCTGTAAACAAAGATGCTTCCTTCTAAAAATTATGTGTGCATTGATTAACAGACACCATTACTGCACCGACATTTTAAAATATGCACTATGGTTTAGAACTTTTTGTACCATCCTGCTTTTTTTTAATTAGTTCTGTAATCTGTCAAAAATAGTTACTAAAATGTGTGCATAGTTTTATTTAATTAGTTTTCATAAAATATTTGATCACTTGTCTTTGGATAATAACCTGTTTTTTTTTTTAAGCCATACACAAGTTAAGGTGTTCAATTCTTTACTGGTTATTTATCCTTGACAACCAGATTATGAGCCAAAGGTAAAAAACTGATTATAATAATAATAATTTTTGTCAAATGAAGATAATCAAACCAAAAGGTTATGTCAACTATTTTTATATTATATTTGGAAAGCAATATGTATACGAAAGAGAAGCTTCAACAAAATAAAACACTCATTACTTTTTCGAAAAAAAATGATTTCTCTGTTTTGAAATAGGGCCTTTTCTTAGATATGCCATGCACCATATATGGAGTTCACTATAAAAGTAGGCTTCCAACTACTGTTTACTTTCATTAACTTCTTAAGGGTCTGTGAACTCCTAACCTGTTCTCTTGGCTTTCAACATTATCATTCATTTGCATATGCAGAGCCTAGCTAGGACTTGACTTGGTCAAACTTGAGTCCTTCACTTAGGACTCAACTTGGTCAAACACATGAACACCAAACAGATGGTCTTTTTGACCACATTGCTCTGTTTGCCTAGTCTTCTGGGATCCACTACCGTGGCAACCTCCATGTGATGTAAAGGCCTACCATATTTACCATGTACCATGATTCAAAAAGAATATGTAGCCTCTAATGGAAGAAATTTTCATATTTTTTCCTAGTTTTCCAGAGGCTTGGCATTGCAGACAATATTAAGACCTATTGTAATTTATAGGTGACATAAAATTGTATAAAGTTGGAAGGATATATAATCCTTGGATGAAAAATTTAGGGTTTGATCCTGAATTTAAATGAAGAAGTTTTAAAACAAGTAAGAAAATAGTAGCAGTAAAATGTAACAAAATATACTTGTACATGCACATAAACATGCAATTTACAAGGGTCAGTCCTGGTTTTGCAATTTAGTAATCGCATACAATTTAGAAATTAACTAAAGGGGCGCCTGGGTGGCGCAGTCGGTTAAGCATCCGACTTCAGCCAGGTCACGATCTCGCGGTCCGTGAATTCGAGCCCCGCGTGGGGCTCTGGGCTGATGGCTCAGAGCCTGGAGCCTGTTTCCGATTCTGTGTCCCTCTCTCTCTGCCCCTCCCCCGTTCATTCTCTGTCTCTCTCTGTCCCAAAAATAAATAAACGTTGAAAAAAAAATAAATAAATTAACTAAACTTTCCAAACCTCAAATTTTTGTTAGGTTAAATTGTTATTAAGATCTCTTTAACTTTAAAATTCTGATGTTTTCTAGGATTGCGGATGGGACTGCATTTGTGTACAAGAAGGGATAGTAAAAATTTAACAAAATTTGCATGTGGATAAATCCAAGGAGGTGGGATTGCATATGGCATGATATGCATGTGAAACACTTGTGTGCACGTGCACACACACACACACACACACACACACACAGAATAGCTTAATAGGATGAAGTTAGACTACTACTGTCAAAGGCTCAGAATTCCATGCTGAGTTGTTTTATATACAGCATGGAAGCTGAACTCTGTTGAAAGCTTTTGTACTAGTTCATTATTGGTGGAGCACAAGTCTGGGATGCTCGGTTTGCTTTCATTGTTAGGATGGACTGGAGGAGCAAAAAAAGGAATCACAATGATATTTTTAAAAGGAAAAATAAGGGGATATTTCTGTATGTCATTTCGTATTTTTTGCAAGACAGGACAGAAAAGTGAGGAATGTTAAAATTAAGAGTAGTTTTTATATGTCAACTATACTGGATTTAAAATTTTTAAAAGAAATGAAAAATAAAAATAAAATTAAGAGTAATTTTCGTTTTCCACAATAATTCAGTCTGAAGTTTGGTTGCTCATTTTTGATGGATGCTATCAGAGATATATTAATTCTGTTTTCTGTAATGAGGGAAATTTTTGGTTCTTACTTAAGAGGATTACAAAGTTATGACAATCGCCATGTAGCTTCCCTGTAATTTGAATAGAAGCATGTGGCTGAATTACTTAAGCAAAAGAGTAATACTGCTCAAAAGAAGAATTTAAATAAATTTAACAAGAAGTATAGCAAAGGCTCCTACAACTCTGTTAGAGAAACTTCATATGCACTTGCTTTCTTACACAATAGGTCGAGATCCTGAGGAATACCTAGTTGTCATGAATTAATAATTAATAGATCACATGTCTATTATTGAGAATTTATATTTAATATCTGATTAAAACACATTTATTACTTGGAGAGATACCAAACTTACAAGTATAGTGTTTATTCCTTCTGAAAGAAAACACTGGTATTTATAAAATAATTGAAATATCAGCTTAACCGACCATTACACTTTAATTCAAAGCATTTGCTTTGCTCACAGAAATCAATACAGTGCTATGGAACTGCCTATAACCAGTCACCATTTAAATACAACATATTTTTACCGAGTTAGCTCTATATGTTTTTATGTTTTAATTCAAAACCTTTTACTATACCATAGCCAAATTACCATGAGTATAATCAGAATCTCAAATTGGAATGGGATTTTAACATTTATCAAGCTCTTGGTTACAACTGGATACAACTGATTTACTTCTTACTAAAACAGTGGAAAACACAGGTACCAACTGGAAAATGGATGGGAGTGTGGTTTATATCAGACTGAGTAATGAAACTGTGGGATGACTCTCCTTTACACTTACAGATATTGACATATGTACTAAATATTGATATCCCCCCAAAGCATACATAAAATAATGTACTTGGATAGGCAATTTTCTCTTAGGCTTTCAGAAAATGGCACTTTGATGTGTACAGAAACAGAAATAAAGTCTCAAAGTTCCTGAAGGATGTTTGATAAATTTTTATAGTGTATTATAGTGTTTTTCAGCATCTAAATAAATTATCTTTGTAAAGCTTTACTATGGTGCAGTACATGTAGCAGCTGTTTCAGATTTATGGGCACATTGTATCCCAAAATTCTCTTTATAGGTTAGTTGTTTAAAACTAAAAACACATGAGAAAAATATTAAGCATTAAGGCTAGGTTCTCTGGACAGTCTACAATGGCTTATTTCACACTGAGATCTCTAAAACTCTGCTTTTATACTAGAATGCTAGTATTTAATTCTTACTGTCAAGCCCCTCATCACTTGCACTGCATTATCACTTGCCCGAACCACTGCATTAGCACACC